CCTTTTTTCAGTTTTTAAAAACCAGTTAATACCCCACTCTCAGCTGGAGGGGGCACTCACTGCATCACCAGCCAGCAGGGGAAGAACATGTATTTGTTGAGCTTGCTACCATGCCAGGATGAACTTGGAGGTATGGAATGGGGCTACGGGGAAGGAGGAGGCCCCAGGTCCTGGGCATGATCACTAAAACTGCATCCTGCCAGGGTAGGGAGGTGTGGTGTGGTGCAGCAGTTCCGTAAATGCCAGGACCAACGATTCCCTGGTGAAAGGCAGGTAGGACGTGCCATATCCTTCAGCTAACACATGCATGCACACAGTCCTGGCTGCGAAAAGCCCAGACCTGTCACGTCTTTGATGGGCCTGAGGCTTGCTGGTTGCAGTGGAGTTGTGAGGCTCCAAGTGAGCTCAGCTTAGCTGTCTGGGATGCCAGCTTTTGTGTTGAAAAATTCTTTGTCAGGCTAAGGAAGCACCTTCAGTAGGTATGTCTGCTGGTCCTGGATGGAAGAAAGAGTAAAGAAGCCAGAGGCTGGCCTGGCATGCAATGCAGGCAAGAAAGCCAGTCAATGAAAATGGGAATGGAGATGTCAGAGGGTGAGAGACTGGTTGGGGTGCCGTGGGGGGTGGGGGATGTAGCAGCACAGGTAAAAGTGCAGAGGTACCTGGGGAGTCAATATGTCTGGCAGGTTGTAGTGTGTCAGAATTCCACTGTCTAACCTATATTAAGTCCATGAGTTTCTGTACCTAGGAGGCTGATGAAGTGAAGTTTATAGGCACGGCTGTGAAAAGTGGTTTGTAAATTGTTCCCTTTCAGGATCAGGCCTGAGAGACTGGAGGCAGAGTGTTTTTTTCATGAGGAATGTGCCCCTACAGGTAGTTGGGAATTGTTGTCTTTGATAGATTCTGGTGTGCAGTATGTGGGGGTACTGGAGATAGATGGCAGGTTTTGTGTTTTGAGCTGTTTTGTTTGAATTTTTAAACCACTTTTCAGAGCTGGGCCTATGAACTTCACTTCATCAGCCTCCTAGCTACAGAAACTCATGGACTCAATATAGACAGTGGAATTCTGACAGGGGAGAAGGAGGCCTCACTGGGGCATGCTCCCATGTTGTGTAGAGGCCCCAGAACCAGGGCGAACCTTAACACAAATACACAAACACACACACACACACATACACAGAGTCACACAGTGATGGCACACCTTAACAGACACGCTAGAGAAGAAGCAGCTTCTACTTGAGAGGAAAGAAGGGCTCTGTGATAGTTTGGCTACCTGAGATGCTGCTGGTGCTACTGCTAGTGCTCAGTTAGTCACTAAGTTATTTTACCTGTTGTCATGTAAAGTGGTGGACTGAGATGAGGCTGTAGGGGAGGAGGAGACCTCATTGGGGCACACTAGCAAGTTGTGTAGAGGCCCCAGTGCCAGTGAGGGTGCACCTTAACACACACACAGTGTCACCCACCCATGTCACGAGTTTTGCCTGTCAGCAGCCAGAGGTGCAGGCCCCCAGAAGCCAGACTTCCCCTGCACCTAACTCTTTTAAAGCTGGCAGGCTTCATGGCTTCAGCAGACCTAGCAGACCTGCAGTAGTTTTCACCCCCTTGTGCCTGAACACAGACACAGTCAGTCACACAAGCACCCATGTTACAAGTTTTGCCTGTCAGCAGTCTGAGGTGCAGGGCCCCAGAAGGCAGAAGTCCCTGCACCTATCTCCTTGAAAGGTGGCAGGCTTTGTGGCCTCAGCAGGGGCTACCATCCCTTCAAGTTTCACCTGAATCAGCCAAAAAAATGACAACATTATAGATATTTCATTGATTCCCCATTATACTCTATGGCCGAATCTCTGAATCTCTCCGAATTGGCGCCAAATCTTCTGAAGCTGATTTGGCTGAATCAGTTCAGAAAAATGATCCGCATCTCTGAATCAAATTGTTGACCTCTGAACTGGCCAGATTTGAATCTGAATTGAATAGTTCTCTATTCACACAGGCCTATTATCTATTAAGAGGATAGGCCTCTGGTCCCCTATGTTGAATGCTTAACTGGCACAAGAGATTATATTACCCTGCCCCAGAGAAAAGTTTAGCCAGGATATAGTTTAAAACTAGCAAAAAGCAGTAATTTTTGTACAGAATTTGACACTGGAGCAGGTGTGGATGGGTGAGGGCTCTATTGATGTACAAAACACAACAGAATGTTAGCTGGGGCATTGTATTCTACCTTTCCTGCACAGTGAGGACCAACAGGGTGCCTCAAAAGGACATGGTGGAACATGCCTGAGGAAATCAGGAAAAGTATAAGAAATGTGGATGGGCTGTCACCATTAATCCATAAGACCTGTTCACTACAACAGGATGGGCTTTTTTCCCTGAAGAACAACGATGACCTCCCTGAGAATAGTGCTGAATCAATCAGAGCAAGGAAAGGGGTGGAACCTAGACTGGAAGCCCCTGGCACTGTTCAGACTTCTCTCAGAAACATTATGGAAGAGGTTTGGGTGGCTGAGACAGATTCCCAGATTCCTAAAACTGGCCCAGGGACCATGACAGAACTCCAGCAACCCATATCAGAGCCTTCCATGGAAAGTACAGTGGTGGTGAACTATCCTGGTCCAATGGGACTCTGCTGAGTTAAGTAGATAATTTTAGAGGTGGCTTTCTATGGTAACAGGGTGGGTCGGTGTTAACTATATAATCTGTTTGCAGGTAGATGATATCTTAAAGAGAGCTTTCAAATCCTACATATTGTTGGACCTGTGAGAACAAAGGGCTCTTGTGTGAACTGGTTTTGTTCGTGTCTAAAAGACAGGAGTTCAAGACAAGACTGAAGATGCTTTTATCAGTTTTGTCTGAGTTCCTGGAGTGCATGAAGCAGGGGAACAAACTTATGGAGGTTAGGGAACAAGGGTATGATCCAGGTCCTAGCCACCCTGACAGTGAAATAGTGTCTCCTAATGTCTAGCCTGAAACTATCCTCTGCTACCTTGTTTCCATTGTTTCTTGTAACTCCCGGGAGTGCTCGGCGGAACAGGGACTCTCCCAATGCCTGCTGGTCCCCCTTGACTAGTTTGTAGACTGTCACTAGATCCCCTCTCAGCCTTCTCTTTTGGAGGCTGAACAGGTTCAGGTCCCTCAGCTTCTCCTCATAGGGCCTGCCCTGCTGACCCCTCATCATGCAGGGGCCCTCCTTTGGACCCTCTCCATATTGGCCACATCCCTCCTGAAGTGAGGCACCCAGAACTGGACGCAGTACTCCAACTGTGGCCTGACCAGTGTTGCATAGAGGGGGAGGATCACCTCCTTGGACCTGCTTGAGATGCATCTGTAGATGCATGACAGGGTATGGTTGACCTTTCTGACCGCGTCCCCACTTTGTCGGCTCATGTTCATTGTGGCATCAATGATGACTCAAAGATCCATTTCTGTCTCGAAACTGGCGAGAAGGGAGTTCCCCAGCCTGTAGGTGTGCCACTGGTTCTTCCTCCCCAGGTGCATTACCCTGCACTTGTCAGTGTTGAATCCCATCCTGTTCTCATCCGCCCACCCCTGTAACCTGTCTAGATCTGCTTGCAGCCTGTTCCTTCCTACTAGCATGCCCACTTCCCCCCACATCTTAGTGTCATCTGCGAATTTGAACAGGGTGCTTTCTACCCCCTTGCCCAAGTCACTGATGAAGAAGTTGAATACTGTGGGCCTGAGGACCAAGCCCTGGGGAACCCCACTGCCCACATCCCTCCAGGTTGAATAAGACCCATCCACCACCACCCTCTGGGTGCAGCCCTCCAGCCAGTCAGTGACCCATCTGACCGTGTAGGCATCAACACCACTGTCTCCTAGTTTCTTACAGAATGGGGTGAGAGACTGTGTCAAAATTCAGAAAGACTGTATCCATTGTGACACCTGCATCCAAGGACTTGGTGACCTGGTCATAGAAGGCCACCAGGTTGGTTTGAAGAGACCTGCCCCTAAGTACCTCTGTTCAGAGAAGGATTTTCTGTGTGTCTAAAGAGAGGATTTCAAGACATGGCTGAAGACTCCTGTATGTGCTGCATTTCATTACCAATTAATAAACCTTGTTCTACCACTGTTTAAATTAGTTGTCTTCATTACTTCTAATATATTTATATATCTTTATACCCTTTTCATGTCTTACTTACCTTTGTCTTTTGGTCTTCATTACAGAGGATCTATCTAGTAGGAAAAAACCAAAATTTCCAAGCACACTTTAAATACAGCAAGGTAAAAACATCATTTAAAAATGGAGGGGTGATCTGTGGGGGTATTAACACAAGACTTAAGTCATAATAATGTTTGCAATTGTTTGTTCCCAAACAGAAATACTTCTTCAGAAATGGAAAATCAGAGCAATCATATCTCTTCATGTCTTTACCCTGTGGTGAAAGGTATATTTTATGAAATTAAGTTTCTGAAAGTGTGTGTGGTATTCATTTTCTGAAATCAAGCTTTTGGAACTCTGTGTGCTTTGAGCATGTGCTCTTCCATGATTATTAGTTTCTGGTTGTAGGTTTTAATTTTGCTAAGGGCTTTTTAAAGCATGAGTGCTTCTTTCAGACTGGTAGCATTTACATGAAGTTATGCTTAGTGTGATGAAGAGAAGGAGAAGATGATCCTGATGCTGCCCAAGGGTGGAGAGCTTGCTGGGAGCCGCACTTTTGGAGTTTTTTCTTGTGAAGCTAAAATGGCCCCAGAAAGGGGTGGAGTCGAAAGAAGACCCGGATGAGAAAGAAAGGAGTTATGTGACATGGGACAGTGCAGAAAGAGGAGAGGGTGTCAGCTGGATCACCAGACAGATGACCGACAGCTGGAAGGTTAATAGAGCATAATTGCAAGAAGCTGGGCTGAGCCTGATTTGAGATCAACTGGTGGGAAAAAAAATACTGGACAAACTCATGAGAACACAGGAGCCTCGCAAGAAACAGTAAAACTTTTATTTTAAGTTGTATGTTAAGAAAAACAGCCTTACTGTTAAGTGTTGAGCCTCACTGTTTTGTTTTAGAGTTAAATTTTAGAAGTGAATAACTGGGAATCATGTGGGGAGAATTTTCATTATCTGATGAGAATATACTAAAAAACAGAGGATTGCAAATAGTTATTTCAGTTTCTTTCTTTCTTTTTTGTATGTTGCTGTTGATCCTCATTTCTTTATATATACTGGATGGTGTGATTACTAGAATCTAAAGAAACGACCTGGAAGAAATTGGAAAAAAAGGAAATTCTGAGTCGCTAGAACTTAATGTTGTGTGTTATGTTATTTTAATAATAAAAGACAATTAACAAAGGAAAATTTTATCTTTGAGAGTTTGTATAATAAAGATGATAGAACTTTCATAGACTCAGAAGAGGATTACAAAAGTTTGGTGCTAGAAGATAAATTGATATACTTGGTACATATATAGGGGTGTTTAACATTCATCCTTCTGCCACAAAAAATTACACGTAACATATCCTTTCCATCAAGATGTGGCAAGCAAGTTTACTACTAACATTAAAATTACTACTAAAATTACTACTACTACTAAAATTAAATTGGTAAGAAAAAACTCTCACCCTCAATTGTAATCCTGTTTTTGAATGTGAGCAGAAAGTTATACCTGGATAAAACTACAATTAGGTATACTTTCCAACACTTAGGCATTCATTTTCTGTAATTAAGCTTTTGAAATTGCGTATGTGTGTGTGAGAGAGAAACCATCTTGAAAGTGAATTGTTGATGCTGAGATGTAAATATTATATTCCCTAAGTGACCTCACGCAATACCTCCAAAGAAGGAAACAATGCTTCAGAGAACCAGCTCCTAGAAGCACCAGAGAGACTGGAACCAGGCCAAAGGCTTCCAACAGCACTCACTGAAAATCACAGAAACACTCACCTGGAGGATCAGAATGCCCAAAGAACAGAGTTCCAATGCTGCTGTATGCGGGTCTGTGAATAAGAAACACAGGACTGATTACTCACACACTTCAGAGAAATCTGAGGAGGTTCTTCCTGTCTTTTTGAAACATCATGATTATTGTTCAAACAAAAAGAATGGGATTTGGGGGGTGGGGGTGTTGGTATCCTTGAAAGATCATGATTATTGTGAAAACAAAAGGACAGATATTGTACAGATGGTGAGTGGTCTGTATGGTTCAGATACCAGGTGTGGTATGCATCATAAGAGGGGAGGTGGTGATAAACCTGGGGACAAGTGGATTGCAGGGCAAAAAGTAAGGTCTTGGTTAAAGATTAAAGTGGAAAAAGCTAAACAACTATTGAGAAAAATCACTAGGAGGGCCTTTTATTCTAAAAACACCAGTGGAGGGGGTCCCAAATACTGCAAATCTTCCTAAGCCTGTGGGGCCAGAGTTCAGGTGTTGCAAATGTGAATTAGAAGACCCTTTAGAGGGTTTCTCGAGATCTCCCTCTCCTCCTGAGTCTGTGGAGTCAGAGAGCACTGTTGGTGAAAATGATATGAAGACTCCTTGGGGAGTCCCTTGAAATCTCCCTCTCATCCTGAGCCTGTGGAATCAGAGAGCAGGGCTGCTGAAAGTGATTTAGAAGACTCCTTGGAGGGTCTTTCAAATGTGGTCCCTCCTGAGCCTGTGGAGGATGTTTTGCCAAATGTACAAATGGTATGAGTGATAAGGCAGAAGTGGCCTATAGCTAGGTTTGGAGCCCAGAGGTATGAAGGGCCCTTGTACACATACTTGCCATTTAGTTGCTAACAATGTTCCTGGTTCAATTTTTCTTTCTTAGTTTAAGATAGCTAACTAAGTAACATGGATGTGATTTACCATGCAATAGCTTATTGTGCTATAACTAGTAAAATGCGTTAGGGGCACGTGAGAACAATTTTACCCTCCTTCCCTTTCAGTACTACTTTACTGCCAGGTGGCATTTTAGGATAAGATTTGATATTTTGGTTGGTTTATTTTCTTGGGTCATGCTGGGTTGCTTTTTGGGGGGGAATTGTTGGCAGTTTTGCTTGAGAGACACACA